ACTAGGATAGTAAGCGGGGATTTCCTGTTTGTTGAGTACAATTCTGGGTATATCTGGGCTTGCCTGATCAAAATCCTATTTTCATATAAATGAAGGAGCCTCCTAGGAAGAAAACTGCTGAAATTGACTCTACAGAAAATTCTTTAGCCCTTGACAGAGAAGGAAGATTCTGAACAGCATAGATACCATCACTTGAATTTATCTCCTAATCCAAATTCTGTAGATAGGCAATCAGGGAAGATGTAAGCAAAAATGAAAGGGCGTCTGAGCATGGAGCACTGCTTTGAGACTGACCCTGTGGCCTGGCTTCTTGATGTACCTCTAATAGAAACCCATGGAACAATGGCCACAAAAAAGAAAAGACCAGTGTCTGGAGAAGTAGCATAAGCTCTTGGTGGAAATGGACTTCTTCACCAGTTAATGTAAAAGAAACCCTAAGACAACCTTTTGTGGGTGATTTTACAAGGCATTGAGGTCCTTCCTATGTTAGGCAGTTGTGGGCAAAATCAATGAGATATGTGTTACCATCCTAATCTGGCACAATTGGCTCCACTTGGGGAAGAAAGCTCTGGTTATAGTACATATTATCACTAATGGAAGGAATTGAGAAAAGGAAAGTAGTAAGAGTACAAATGAATAGATGATTTCTTCTCTTAAGTCTGAGAAATCGAAAGGAAATATATAGCAGAATCCTTAGCAACAAGAGAATTCAGTTTAGCTATATTTATGCTTGAATACACAAATATAATTAACCTAGTCCTGAGAACAGCATACAATCCAAAATCATCCAAGCTAGGCAAAAGAATTAAAGTAAAAATTAACTTTACAAAGCTATGTATTTTTAAAAGGCAATTATTTTTGAAAATGATCATTTGTTGAGTAGAGAAAGGGAATACATAACAAAGCTAAAAATGTCCAAACATGCAACATAAAATTGTTGCATTCTAATAACTAAAAAAGCCAACATTACTGTTTTGTACATTATTTTAGAAGAAATTGGTATATTTAGTAGGAGCTTTGCTCTGCTCCAGTGTCATTGTATAATTCTCTTTGAATAAGAAGTGGCGTTTGCCCAACATTTTTCATCTAAATATCTAAAAATGTCTAAAAACTAATTATAAAACATCATTATGGGTCATTCAGTACATCTGTTTCTAATAGGAAAATAAGTTATTTATTTAGACTATCCAAATGAATACCAAATGCAGTGTATGGAAAGTCAGAAGATAAAGAACCCATCAAGAAACAAATTTGACACCATTGTGAATAATTGATATCAAAACTCATTATTGAACTACAGCAGTAATATTTATAGTGTCTAGATACATTTTTTCCTAACTTGATCTTATTCTCTTATCAAAATGTAATGCTATAAATATGAAAGTGTTCTAGGTTAAACATAGCCTCAACTGTATATATGTGTATTAGTCCATTTTCATGCTGCTGATAAAGACATACCCGAGACTGGGTAATTTATAAAGAAAAAGAGGTTTCATGAACTCCCAGTTCTGCATGGCTGGGGAGGCCTCACAATCATGGCAGAAGGTGAAAGGCACATCTTATGTGGCAGCAGGCAAGAGAATGAGAGCCAAGAGAGAAGGCAAAACCCTTATAAAACCATCAGATCTCATGAGACTTATTCACTACCATGACAACAGTATGGGGGAAACTGCCCCCATGATTCAATTATCTCTCACAGGGTCCCTCCCACAACACATGGGAATTATGGGAGCTACAATTCAAGATGAGATTTGGGTGGGGACACAGCCAAGCCATATCAGTATGGAATGTACTTATGCATACCTAGAGTATAAAAGTAGAGTAATAAAAGGAAAATAATAATAGTACATATAGTACTTACTCTGCGTCAGGTACTCCCTAGTCTGTTCTTACAAATAACTTCTTATTTAAATTTATCAATCCGGTGAAGGAAATACTACTATTCCTGTTTTACCGATAAGGAAACTAAGGAACAGAAAGAAAAAATGCCTATTCATAGAGTATTTGATTTGAACCCAGACAGGCTAATAAACTTGTGCTTTCAACAACTACAGGCATAACCATATCTGAAGTGTTAAGATCACCTTTGGACTGTGAATTCCTGATTAGAGTACTTCAGCTCTATTTAACTGCTTCTATCACATGGATTATAGTTAACTTATACATTGTCACATATGTAAAACTAGTTTATACCAAATTAAAGTATTATCACACAATAATATAACAGTGATGTGTTTGCTTAATAAATATCATAGTCCCTTTCTCTTTCTGAATCCTTTATCTTTGTTCATCCCCACATCCAACACATAGCCCCAATAAAATAGAGGTTAGAGGTTTTGGAGCCTAAATGTTTACGAAATCCAATTGGAAAGTAAGGGATTATAAAAAATTCTGTATCATTTCTCCCCTAGGAATAAAACTCATCATGTATGTAAATGAATATATTTAGAACAGTATGGCAAGGTTGAGATTTTTCCACATAATGTAAATGATTATATCCAGCTACACACACTGTTGCTTTTTATAAGACACTTCAGTAAAACATGCTGGGATAGAGAGACATAGTCTATCATGCAGTGTTACCCACAATACTGAAATTGCTGAAATTCCTTTAGTCTTTCATCTATGCATGAGTTTATCAGGCTATATATATGTGTGAATTTGTGCATGATTTTAAAGATCCCATGACTCTCCAAAATAGTTGTAGTTTATTTTATGACTGTGAAAGATAGTCTATTCTCACTGTAAAAAAAAGAAAAAAAAGAGTTAAATGATACAGAAAAGAATAAAAAAGTTAAAAAATCTTTTAGAATGCTACTATGCAGTGATAAGCACTAAAAACCAATCTCTCTCTCTTAACACACATGCATAATTATCAAAGAGATCATGGCAAAAACTCACAGCAAAGTTAGAAGCCTTCTAAGAAGTGAAGGCTTACATTTGCTTCCAGGTAAAAGTTCCTGTTCTGTGGCAAACCACTTCTACGGGCTTTTGTTGCAAACAGATAGTGTGAATTGAAAAGTTTTAGAGGTGTGGCTCTAAGGAGCTAACCTGGTCTGCCCAGTAACACAGAAATCATTTCTGTGATGGTAGACTTACCCTTTTGCTGATTGTTGTCAGGAAGTTAGAGAAAAAAAATATTAAATCATTTCAACACCAAGATAACATTGGTTATTCTTGGGAGTTGTATAACAGGAATTACACAAGCAACCGCAGAACACCACTGAATTTGCTTGCTTGTGGGGTCTCATATTTCTTGTTGTTGTGTTCAAAACTCAGTTCAACTCACAGAGACCCAGAAGAAATTGAGAAGCAGACCTTGGACGTGGTTACCACTGCACACTGGAGAAAGGTCTCTTTGTTTATTGTTACTACATTGATCAAAAAGTTGCCTATGAGACCTGGATAAGAAACTGCTTATCTCAGGTTGCTATAATGTAAAGAGATGCCAGTAGAAATTAGGCAGCACGGACAAAATTTGAAATTATATATGAGTATTTTAAGGGTGTGTGTGTGTCAATAGTAATTCTGCCTTATGGTTCTATAATGGTTTCTTTTTATTTGTTTTTAATGATGAGGTTTCGCTCTGTCACCCAGGCTGGATTACAGAGACATAACTATAGTTCTCCATAGCCTCGCCTCAAATTTTGGGGATCAAGCTATCCTCCCACCTCAACTTTCTGAGTCACTGGGGCTACAGTTGTGCCTGAAATGTTTCTTTACTTTTTGTTTGCATTAGAAATATTTCCCCAACCCATTCCATTTTCCGTATCTCTTAATTTTCTAAAATACGGGTGTTTTCTAAAACCAGGTCTAAACCCCACACACAGCTAAAATCCTCCAATAACTTCCATTACTTTGGTGATAAAATCAAAAATCATTAACAGAATTGAGAAATCCTTCCTGATCTGACTCTTACTTCCCTCCCCTGAGAGGCATGAAAGCATCATTTGGATTCTGTATTCTATGAGACCAGGTATCATGTTTCCTACCAGTCAGCATCAGTACTTGAAGACCATATTTACTTGCCATAACACCATGTTTTCAACTTCACAACTAGATATATAATAGTTCCTATTCCTCCAATTCCCTTCTTCAGCCCTTTTTTACTTGATCAGCACCTAGCTGATTCTAGCCTCAGCAAAGGCCTCACCTGCTCTATGTAGGAGGCTATCTCTGACCTTTCCAGAAGGGGTTAAGTATGCTGTCTTGTGTGTCCATATCTCCCTGTGCTTTCTTATATCTAGATCTCCAGCAGTCCCTGTTGTAACCACTCTTGTCACCACCATATCACAGCTCTTACCACAGTGAGCTCCTTGGGGCCAGTGACTGTATTTTTGTGTATTACTAAGGTGAATATACAAGGCAAGAATTTAATATTAGCTAGTTCATTTGATTCTGCCAAACCTCTATAATTAAGGAAGTAGAAAAGACCCCATAGCCTCCTCATTCAATAGGTAGCTGAGGTTTAGAGAGCTTAGTATCTTGTCCAAGGTCTTACAGCTAGTTAGGAACATAAACTAAAATCTGAAATTGAGATCTGTATTCTCTCTCTCTCTCTCTCTCTCTCTCTCTCTCTCTCTCTCTGTGTGTGTGTCTCTCTCTCCCCACCTCTATTCCAGCTTTCTCTTTGCCTGAACACACACACACACACACACACACACACACACACACTTTTACATGTTTCGACCATTGTGAATGAATTCTAGGTCAAGTTTATGATGTTAACCAGATATTCCAACCACTATGTGTTGATATGACTCTAAAAAGAAAAAGATTTCTGAAAGCATTTTGCAAGGCATTTATAGAAGTAAGAGATATGTTTCCATTTTATCACCACAACCTCCATTAAAAATTGGAAGCTATTATTCCTGGAGACTTCAGAATTTTCTTTGGAAATATCCTGCAATTCAAAAGGAAGTCTGACGCAGCCTCATAAAAATCTATGTTGCAATAGATGCTGTGTCACTGAAAACCACCGAAAAGACAGGGTTAAGAACACAAAGTGAGCTGCAAACCATATATGGAGAAACCCGTTTCTTAAAACTAGTGATGAACTCATGCTCCTTCTGTTTTCTCAAAGCTGAAGTCAGCTAGCTTTGTAAAGCTGCGGGCTGAGCACTCAGAAAGGCAATCACACTCAGAAACGGTGGCGGCTCCGGACTGCAGCCTCCGAAGGCTCCATGCCAGACAAAGCATGCGCGTCACGCTGGCTGCAGTAGCCTGGATGGTTTCTTTTGTCTCCAGTTATTCACACACAGCACACATTTTGCCAGATATCGAAGATGAAGATTTCATCAGAGACTGCGTTCGAATTCATAACAAGTTCCGTTCAGAGGTGAAACCAACAGCCAGTGATATGCTATACATGGTAAGGAAAATATCATTATTCATGACATAAGTCGGTCAGGAACAACTAATGTGTATTGACTTTGGTGTTAATGCCTTGGTAATCCTGAATGATTTTTTTGCATTGTGATTAATGTATGCAGTAAATTCACAATCTGTGATCATAGCGAATCCAGTTTAGCTCTCTTCTCAGCTGTTGTCATAAGCAAGTGCCACAGCACATTTCACTTCTGTTTTTTTTGGACACTTCCTGTTCTCTGGTTTTCAATAGAGTTTACTTCTCTTTTTGTTATTTTCTTCCCTGTTAATTTTTGTGATTTTGTTTCTTTTGGGGGTTTTGCCTCTAAATTTACTGTTTGTGTTGCTGACAATGTACTGAGTTGCTCAGGAAGGCAGCATGGCACCGGGGGAAAGGATGGGATTTTGATTCAGTAAGACTTGTGATTGAATTTCAGATCTGTGACTTTAAGCTGGTTTTTAACCTTTCTGAACTTCTTAGGATGTGGGCTATGGTGGTTATTAACTAATGCTGTGAAACACAGCACACACTATTTTGCCCATAACTGGCCTTCCGTGAAATGTCAGTTTTCCTCACTTAGATTCTAAATTCCATGAAACTAAATCATCATGTTTCCTACCAGCCCTACTCCGTGCTTGAAGACCGTATTTTGCAGAGGACTTACATGCAGCGGTATCTTCTCTTTTCTTATCTCACCTCATTTTCCATTCAGATTCCCACTGTACTCATCCCAGTTACATTTTAGATGAGCCCCCTATTGTTTAATTTCTGACCCCCTATTAATTAATGTTTCTTTTTGCAGACTTGGGATCCAGCACTAGCCCAAATAGCAAAAGCATGGGCCAGAAATTGCCAGTTTTCACATAATACACAGCTGAAACCACCCCACAAGCTGCACCCAAACTTCACTTCACTGGGAGAAAACATTTGGACTGGGTCTCTGTCCCTGTTTTCTGTGTCTTCCGCTATCACAGACTGGTATGACGAAATCCAGGACTATGACTTCAAGACTCGGAAATGCACAAAGGTCTGTGGCCACTACACTCAGGTAAGTGTCTGCCCTATATTTTCTTGAAACTGTCTTTTCCAGTGAGGAGAAAATTGTACTATGTGGTTCAGAAATACATAGTATGCTCGTAGGTCTGTAAATATAAGGGAGTTACAAACTTACTTTAGAAATAATAAATAGAACAGACTCCAATAACAGAGAAAATAGTACTTGAAAAGTTTAGTTGTGCAAACTAAACACATAATAGGTAATATGTGACGCCCACCAACGTGGACAAGCTTTGAAGGATTCCTATGGCAGCTGTTCTCCCATACGACTTTATTTTTGAGAAATCAAAGAACCTTATGAGTGAATGGATTTTCAGGTTCCATCTGGCACAAGTTTTAAATGGAATTTGAAGCAATTTTGGGGGGACTATAAAATTGAAAGAAACAAGCCTCTCAGACAGAAACAGCAGTAAGAACTGATGCACCACAACCTCTCATTCTCTCAAGCATTGACTGAAAACCTATGTGCCACCCACTGAGCGCCGTGTACTTTGCCACCCAAGGAAGCAGAAAAAGTCAGTTCCAGCCCAACAGAGACACCAATGTGTAAACTTATATGAACCGTTCTAAGGGTATTCTGCCCCCAGAATCCACATTAGTAGTCCCCGTAGCCACAGTCAGAGCCACCCATTGAGTTTTACTTTTATTTTTATTTTTACTCAAGCTGAGTCTGGCTCCCTAACCCTCCTTCACGTTTGCGGCGTGATGGAAACAACTCCCTAGGTAGCATCTGTCATAATCATCTTCCGGTGCTGCCTTCCTCTCCTGGCCACATTTTGTTTATTTACTTTCATTTCCTGGCCATCCTTGTCAAACTGATAACTTACCATACTTAACCTGTAACTGACTGTGTTTTTGGGGGCACAAAAATCTGTTGAAATGAGGTATGAAGGCAAAAACGTTTCTATCAAGGCAGTTACATTGAAATATTAGGTGGTTTTAAAGAGCAACATGTTGTTAGAAAAACTCTCTCACTCCAGCTCAGCCTTACAAAGCCTGTGATCTCATTTATGGTGTCACGGATGAACCAAGTTTGGCGCAGTTACAAAAGATCAGTATTGTAAGAGTAAAGTTGACTGATGTGAGTGAATTTTCATCTCAAGATTGTTGCAAGCAAAGGTGAGCTATCAAATCATCTCTAGGATCGATTTCTTTTTTGGAAATACGAATAAAATTTCTCCTAAATTTATCTCATAAACCAACAGTTTTGGTGTACATTTACAAATAAATTTAACCAGAAAGTAAGTTTCCTTAGATTCCAACAAGACCTAGGGGAGAAGAAAGCTAAATCTAGGTTCCCTACAAGTGGTACTTGGTACCATTATGCATTGTGGTATTTAAATACTCAGAAATAATTGTCATTTTGAGGGTGCCACTTCCATTTATTAGTCAGTGTTTAAGCTTCTACCTATACCAGGCACTGGTGGTTTGCTTAGTCCAGATTCTTGGAAAACAGAGCCTGAGACAATCGTGTATGAGCTAACATTTTACTGGGGTACAATCTTAGAGAAGTGGAAGTGAGGAGAAATAAGGAATGATCCAAGGAAGGAGGAGAAATACAGCTGGAAATGGTCCTTGACCCTCAGGAATTGACCTTTGGGAAGAGACTTACGTGTAAATGGATTATGACAGTGTTTGGCTGGTGCAATTTAGAGAAGCTGACGAAGCACCATGTGAACAAGGAGGACAGAGCAACTCACCCAGCCAAAGGGAAGCGTAAAGCTTCACACAGCGGGAGACACATGAGCTGGTACTAGAGAACTGAGTGGGAGTTTGTCAGATGAAAGGGAAAGGGAAGAGAATTCTCAGCAAGGTGTGGAAGGTATGCTACGTGTATGAATGAGCCTGGTAGTTTCGATGAATAGCAGGCAGCTCAGCATGCCAAATACAAAGAGGTCAAAAGACTGTAAAACTGACAACAGACTCCTAAACCATGCTCGGTACACAAGTTAAAACACTCCATGTTCATCATTCTAGGAAATTGAAAGAAGAGAAAACTTCAGCTTATATCATATGTACCTGAGATTTCGCAGATGGCCATTCCAAAATTAACTGAGCTTACTTGCAAAATTTCCCCTTACGTCTAAGGGAGAAAAGAAGGGCTAATATTTTGGTCATGAGAAAACTCATTTTCCAAAACCCAGTCCCATACATACAGACATTAAAACCCAAGCTGAGTGATCCTAACAGGAGTGATCCTCTTTTTTATTTTGAGACAGAGTCTCGCTCTGTCGCCAGGTGGAGTGCAGTGGCGCGATCTCAGCTCACTGCAACCTCCGCCCAGAAGTGATCCTCTTTAAGAGACCACTGCATTCTACCCCCACTTTAGAAGAGGGACATTCATCATGGGGAGAAAGTCTAAGAACCCTCTGGACTGGGAAAATACAGCAGAGCAACCACTTTTTTAATGGGCATAGTGTTGAGCTCTCTACATTGAAGACCTCATTCGATTATCACCACAAATCTATTAAGGAGATGTTATTACCCACAGGTGAATAAACAGACTTGGGGGGGGGTTAATAAGTTGTTTCCCTGATTTCATTTAGCTAGTACGAGGAAGAGTTGAGATTCAGATATTAGTTCTATTGGAAGGCTTAAATAATAAAATGTGTGTAAATTAGCTAATAAAATGCTAATATTTAGTAGGCATTGAACGAAGGGTAGATCCCTTAAATCAGCTGGTTTTCCAGCACTTATAATGGAAGAGGGATCTGATAGCTAGGTAAAAAACTCCATTTTCATCCTGACAAGAAATCTTCCTGGGGGACTCAAAACTTCTCCATTGCTGTGTTAAATTCATCCTGGACAGTTACTTGAAGTGGATATTATAACCTCCTACTTATACTCATCTTCTCATCAAAAATCAAGCTATTCACAGATTTTGGCGGATCATGGGAGGTTGTACAGAATAAAGAAAATAGATTCAGACCCATTGTCTCCTCACAAAATGTATGATATTTCTTGATGTGTTCATTCAACACTTTAGCTTTGTCTTCACTAGAGATAGACTGGCATTGAGGGAAAATTCTGGTGTATAAAATGGAAGATTATTCCAACTTGACATTCTGTTGCTGTGACAGTTCAGCTTTACAAAGTTTGGAATTAGTTTGAATAAAATAGGCAGGGTAGCAGATTACTTGGGTTTGATAGTGCCAAGACTTCCCACTAGATGGCACTACTGATTTTATTTTAGTTTTTCTCTCCCTGCCTCCTCCCACCCTCTTGATATTTTTATTTTTATACTCTGATAGAACCATGGAAATGTGACATGTTTCAAAATTTCTGTAGCAGGTTTCATATATGTTACAGTGTTACCATACTCCTGGTAGTGAAACAGATGAGCTCATACAAAGCATTGAAAGGGAAAGGTGGTGGGAAGGGGTTGTGGGTCTATAAGGGAGACACCTTCCTTCCCTCTGGGTTCCCCAGATGCAGCGATTTTGTAAGAAAGATATAGAGAGTGGTTCCCAGTTCTGGAGAGCTTGCTAAAAGAGAAAACACTCTGAAAGCATCTTGCTGAGGCTATGGACTGTCCTCACAGTACTTCATGGTCAAGCAGAATTACGTTCCAATCTTTTATCTATAAAAATAAGTGCAACAACATTTATTGAGTTTTTATAAGGATTAAGCATGATGTCACTTGTAAAATGCTTAATGATACACCTAAGTTCTCAATAATGAGTAGCTCCTATTATAATTACGGTTTTTTGTTTACTATAGTAAAAGAAAAAACATACAACAGAAACCTGCCTGATAAAGAAAAATTAATGTGTTAAGAATTTTTAAGAGAAGAAACATAGTGGTAAAGGAATGAAACAAGAATGTTTGCTGAGTGCTTGTTATGTTCTAGAAGCTCATTTAAAACTTCAAAAAAGGCCTGTGGAGTTAGTATTGTTATTATCCTCATTTAATAGATAAGAAACCTAAGGCCAATGTCACACTGTAAGTGGCAAAGCTTGAATATGAGCTCAACCCTTTGTGGCTCCAAAGCCCACAAGTTTAACCCAAAACCTGAGTGCCCATGAAACTTTTAGCAGAGATCAACTTGGATAGATAGATAAAACTATGGTACATCCATGCAATAAATATTACTCATCAATAAAAGGCAATGACTACTAATGAATACAACACATGTTTATACCAAGTGAAAGAAGCCAAATTCAAAAGCTGTATTTAGACTGGTTCCATTTGTGTAACCTTCTGGAAAAGGCAAAACTACAGAAACAGATTAATGATTGCTGGGGTCTGGGGATGGGGGTTGAGCACAAAGGGGTACAAGGGGAATTTTCTGGGGCAGTAAAAATATTCTATATCTTGAATGTGTTAGTGGCTACACAACTATATTCTTTTGTCAAAATTTGTAGAAAGGTACAACTAAAAATCATAAATGTTACTGTATGTTTATTATACCCTAATAAACCTGACTTTTAAAAAAGAAGCCAACTGAAACACAAAATGAATGGTAACTAACATCTGTACTCTTCTGGGGAAAAAGTATTAAAATGTGGAAGAGATCTAAATATTAAGAATACTTTTGATACAACAACACTAAGGAAGAAAGTGCTCAAAGACCAAAGGATAAAAATATAAAATGAGCCAAGGTGATAGTAAAAAAAGAGACCACTGAACACAGTTAGCATGCATAGGAATCACCTGAGGAACTTGTGAGAATGCAGATTCCAAAAGCAACTCCAGTGAATGGCATTCAGGGGGTCTGAGATGAGCCCACAATCTGCACTTTAAACAGAGCACCCCAGGTAAAATCACTTTGAGATACGTGAATAAAATTAAGAAATTTTAAAAATAAAACTGAATAGAAAGCAGCAGTTTAAGGATCAGACCTGAGGATTAACAGCCCTTATAAAGCTGTGTTTTCTCAGTGAGACAGAGGCCTAAGCTGCTTCATTGCCTATCCCAGCTGGAGTTCCGGGCTGGAGTTCCCTGCAGAAGATTCCTGGGGATAAAGAAATGTTTCTAGGGAGTACCCCTTTTAGCGCATGGAGTAGGGAAGTACACTCTCTCTTGCCCAAGGAGGGTACCCTCTCCAGTTGCCAAACCAAGAAGAAGGCAGCCCACACTCTGCCCACCGTCTCCCTAGTCATGTCCCCACCTCTACCACACCTTTAAATCTTGGAGAAGCTGAGACTCCAACCTCAGCTCCCCTCTTCCCTCACTTCCTACTCTCCCTCCGGGTGTTACAGGAAAGGGGTTGGGATCCAAACCCCAAGAGAGGGTTCTTAAATCTCACGCAAGAAATAATTCAGGGTGAATCCGTAAAGTGAAGGTAAGTTTCTTAAGAAAGTAAAGGAATAGGCCAGGGACAGGGGCTCATGCCTATAATCCCAACACTTTGGGAGGTCGAGGCCGGCAGATCACCTGAGGTCAGGAGTTCGAGACCAGCCTGGCCAACATGGAGAAACTTCATTTCTACTAAAAATACAAAAATTAGCTGGGCATGGTGGTGCATGCTTGTAATTCCAGCTACTCCTAAGGCTGACGCAGGAGAATTACTTGAAACTGGGAGGTGGAGGTTGTGGTGAATTGTACTCCAGCCTGGGCAACAAGAGCAAAACTCCGTCTCAAAAAAAAAAAAAAAAGTATAAAGGAATATAACCATAAAATTGGGCCACCAGCAGCCCTCAGGACTGCTCTATGGCTACTCCATGGAGTAGATAAAAGATATGGAGTAGCCATAGAGCAGTCCTGAGGGCTGCTGATGGCCCAACTTTATGGTTATTTCTTTATCAAATGCTAAATAAGGGGTAGATTATTCATGCCTCCCCTTTTTAGACCATAGAGGGTAATCTCCTGATGTCACGGCATTTGTAAACTGTCATGGCACTGGTGGGAGTGTAGCAGTGAGGACACAGAGGTCGTACTCATCACCATCTTGGTTTTGGTGGGTTTTAGCTGGCTTCCTTACTGCAACCTGTTATATCAGCAAGGTCTTTGACCTGTATCTTGTGCTGACCTCCTACATCCCCTGTGACTTAGAATATCTAACCATCTGGGAATGCAGACCAGTAGGTCTCGGCCCCATTTTACTCAGCCCCTATTCAAGATGCTATTCAAGTTTCGAGTTCCTAGGGCTGGGCATGGTGACTCATGCCTGTAGTTCCAGCACTTTGGGAGGCCGAGGCAGGCCCATCACCTGAGGTCAGGAGTTTAAGATCAGCCTCACCAACATGGTGAAACCTCATCTCTACTAAAATTCTAAGATTAGCTGGGCATGGTGCTCATGCTGCTCATGCCTATAATCCCAGCTACTTGGGAGCCTGAAGCAGGAGAATTGCTTGAACCTGGGAGGTGGAGGTTGTAGCGAGCCAAGATCACACCATTGCACTCCAGCCTGGGCAACAAGAGCAAAACTCCATCTTGGAAAAAAAAAAAAAAAATACAGGGAATGAATTTCATTTATTTTTAAAGTAAATTTCATTTCTTCATTTTCTGCCGCCACACTGGCTTTTCTTTCAGTTGGGTGAATGGGTCATGGGTCAACCCCACCCTGGGTTCACATAGGATGTTGCCCTCTGCTGGAAGACTCCAAACCAGCTCATCCCGGCTCCAGCTTCACCTCATTTCTTCAGAGAAGGACCCCGAGCCATCCATGCCCTTAGCACCCTCCACTTCCCCTTTACGATCGTCAAAACCCTCGCCTGATGAGTTTCATGACTGCTTTTTTCTAAGTTTTGTGAAGGTTCCCAGTGGTTCTACCTCATTCATTTTTGTGTCCCCTGTGTTTAGCACAGTTCTACAAAATTGCTCAAAAACTTATGAGTAAAAAAAATAATTTAAAATACAATTTGATATTGCTGTAAAAAGGAGTACATTTAATTGCTGGTTGTGTCCATCTTTAAATTATTCTTCTTTAGCCTTTTGTGACACCAAATACTCTTGGTCAAGATGAGCTATATAGTTGAATTTGTGGAGCCCAGTGCAAAATGAAAATGTGGAACCTTTTGTTCGGAAAGCAAGGGAAAAGATATATGACAGCACTGATCTAAACCAAGCATGGAGCTCTTTTGAGTGAAGGATCCCATGTAACAGGGCAGGTCGCTCTGTTCTTGGTTTCCCCCTACATCACTGACCACTCCTTTCAGTCTGTTTTGCTGGCTGGTTTTGTATTTGCTTGCATTATCCCAGGTTCTCATTTACTTTATTATATTTGCCGGTGTAATCTAATCTTGTCCCATGTCTTCCAGATTGACATCTCTAGCATTACCCCGTCCTCTGGACTGCAGCAGCCAAGTCAATTTTCACTTGATGTTTAACAGGCATCTCAAAATTAACATGTCCTGAACCCCCTGCCCATGCTCCCACCTACCCTTCTCCTTCCCTCGTTTTTTGCATCTCAGTAAATGTTGCTCAGGCCCCAACCCAAAACTGTATTTTTCCCCTCTTACCCTGCACTCAAAATAAAAGCAAATCCTTTAGCTTTACCTCTAAGCTGAGTCATGAACCTGATTCTCAGGAACACCACTGGCATTATCCAAGTGTGAGTCACTATCTTCTCATTCTTGTACCATTGAAACAGCCTCCAAAATTACCTCCTTTCTGTTTCCCTTGCTCTTCTCAGTCCGTTTACTTCATAACCACCAAAGTCATCTTTCCAAGACACGAAAAAGAACATACCACTCACAAGAATCTCCGCAGTCTGTTTCTCTGCCTTTGACTTCATTGCTTACAACTCTTCCCCAGCTCATCAGATCTCAGCTTTGCTTGCTTTCTTCCTGCCACGCTAGCATGCCAAGCAAATTCCATCTCAGGGCCTTTCTCCCTGGTATTCTCTCTGCTTGGAATGCTCTTCCTCCATTGGTTAAGTTTCCTGAATGTTTGTCCCAAGTGCTGCATCCTCATCGTCCAATTCTCAGTTCAAATGCTTCCTATTCAGAGATGTCTTCCCTGAGCACCCAAGTAAAATCAGCACCACCTCAACAGCAATCACTCTGTATTGCATTATCCTGTTTTATTTCTTCATTGTACTGTCAAAAATTATCTTATTGCTTATGTTTATTTCATACACAAACAACAATAATAGTAACTGCAGGTCTATCCAGCTGATTTCTGAGCATCTAAAACTTCCTGAGTTTTAAGCACTCTAACTGGAGTGGATACACCTCACCATGTTTATGAAGAACTAATCATACCCAAATATTTATCTTATTGTTTCTCTCTGTTAAAAATCCTTATTTCTTTTCAGGTGGTTTGGGCAGATAGTTACAAAGTTGGTTGTGCAGTTCAATTTTGCCCTAGAGTTTCCGGCTTTGAGAGTCTTTCCAATGGAGCACATTTTATATGCAACTATGGACCAGGGTAAGTGCTGAGAATCCTCTCATCCCGCAGAACAACAAAAATATTATTTTAGAAGTATTCCTCTTCATTATAGAAAATCTGGATAATAAAGTATAAAGAAAAAAGTAACATAACCCTTAATTCTTCTGCCGAGAGATATACTTCATTAACATTCTTGTACATTTTTCTTGGATTGAGAGAGAGAGAGAGAGAGAGAGAGAGTGTGTGTGTGTGTGTGTACATACATCCTTTATATATACTACATAAATACATATGCACATATTTTTAAGAGTGGTAAGACTAGGGAGGCTGAGGCAGGAGAATTGCTTGAACCTAGGAGGGCTGCAGTGAGCCGAGGTCGCGCCACTGCACTCCAGCCTGGCGCCTGGTGACGGAGTGAGACTCTGTCTCAAAAAAAAAAGTGTGGTAAGAAAGAGTGGTAAGACTAAAATGTTTGTCAGGGACACAGATTGTATATGATAGTAATACAATGAAGTGGAAGAACGGATGTTATGTTTATTGGTTAAAAACTTAGCAATTTTATGCAATTTTCAAAACAAAACAATTCAATTCCTCAACTTATATAACCTATTTCATTTACTTTTGACAGTTGTTTTTAAAACAGATACAGTTCCCACTTTGGGAACAGGGAAAACACCTTCCTCCTCCTTTCTTGTAACTTACATATGTGTGCTTGGGTCATACCCATGTTTAGAAAACTGATCATCCTGAAAATGCATATTTTCTATTTTTCACTTAAAACTATGCTATGAACATTTTTCCCCTTATCAAAATTTTAAGTGATTTTAATCATAAAAACAATGATAAATTATGTTTATATAATGCTTACAATGAACACAGCACTGTTAACGTGCTTCATGTATTAACTTAATCTTCATTAAAAGCTTATGAGAGGGGCCCTATTACTACCCCTGTGTGGCAAATGAGAACAGCAAGCCATGAGCAGGGTGAATAACCTGCCCAGTCCTACAGTTAGTGAATATCATTGCTGGACTTTGATCTGGCTGTCTGGCTCCAGAATCCATGCTCTTGATGGTAGCACAACAGTTTATCCTGTTGAAGAATTGATTGTTCAGTATATTTTCTTTTAATATATGATGAATAACCTTGTGTATATATCTGCAGTCACTTCTATTTCCCCACAATTCCTTGAGATGATACTAGCCTGTAAAGAGTATGACCACTTTTGTTTTATTTTTAAATACATATTACTAAATTACATTGCACCATTACATCAGTTTGTATTTAGGGATTATAATTTCCTAGTATTTTCTAATTTGATGGAAATGGCATTTCATTTGTTTTCTTTTGCATATCTGATTACTAGTAATTATACATTTCTTTACATATTTATATTCCTTTTTCTGTGAATCATGGGGGCTGCACATTTTTCTACTAGAATGATTTTCTTATTTATAATAGTTGTTTACATTTTAAAGCTTTTTAACCCTTTGCTATATATGATGATCTTTAATTTGTTGCTTTTGAATTTTGTTTGGATTACTGGAGATTGGTTGAAAGAAACCCATGTGCAGAAGACATGCTTGATAATATTCTGATTGAGTGTTGTAGGTATGAAGGAGGAGACAAACCAAGTGTCATTCAGAAGATGACAGCTTTGACTTAATATCCTAGAGTCGGAAAATAAAACCCAGAAAAAAGCAGACAAAGCCATGGTTCAGTCAGTGGTAACTTTTTATGACTTCGTTTTTTTTTTTTTTTTTTTTTTTTTTTTTGCTACAAGGATTTTTTTTTTGAGGCAGGGTCTCTAGCTCTGTCACTCAGGCTAGAGTACAGTAGCTCGCTTATGATTCACTGCAGCCTTAACCTCCCAGGCTTAAGCGATCCTCCCAACTCAGCCTTCCTAGTACCTGAGACTACAGGCACATACCACTATGTCCAGCTAATTTTTTGTAGAGACAGGGTTTTGCCACATTGCCCAGGCTGGTATCCAACTCCTGGGCTCAAGTGATCCACCTGCCTCAGCCTCCCAGAGTGTTGGGATTATAGGCATGAGCCACCACACCTGACCTCATATGACATTTTTAATGGTTAAGATACAGTTAATGTACTGTGTGACCCTGGACAAGTTAGTTAACTCTGAATCTCAGTTTAATCTCCAATAGACCAGGATAACGGTACCTACCACTTAGAGTAGCTATGAAAGTTACAAGAGAAAGCTTTGTAAAATACCAGGCATATGTAATGCCTGGCAATGGTGAATGTTTTATAAGTATTCATGATTTTTGTTCACTATATTAAAGTGCAAATGTGAATTTCCCTGCTTTAGACTCACTTATCTTCAGAGTTATAAACAATATTAAATTGTAAAACTTATAACCAAAGTTAAAATCCTTCCATAAAGATTGAGTAACTTCAAATATTCATTTATTCAACAAATATTTGTTTACTGAGCTCCAAAGGAGAACAAGGCAGTCTCTGCCTTTATGAGAGTAATATTTATGGGGCAAACAGATAATAAAAATACAAGTGAAATAACTGCATCATTATAAGGGAAATTAAGAAAATATAAATAATACTGTAATAGAAACTATCAATAGGCAAAGCCCCTATTTAATCAGGGAAGAGCTTCCTGTGATGTATTTAAGCTTAGGCACGAAGAATGAGAAGGAATCAGACATAAGAACTTCTGGAACAGCTGTCTGTTCCAGAGAAAAGAACAGCAAGACTCTGTGAAGAAAAGTTTGGCAAGTTTAAACCACAGAGATCTGCGCCCTGCATCCATTGAACAGATGAAATGGTGGGGAGGAAGGCAGTGCCAATCTAGCAGGAACGTTTAGATCATGGCAAAGTTTACATAAGAAGCCATCCAAGTATATTAAGCAGGGGAGTGATGAGACCTTTAAATTTGGAGATCAGTCAGGATGGAAAATGGATTAGAGGAGCATAAAACATAAAACACAAAACACAAGAGACCACTTAGGATGGTCCTCCTTTCCCTCTGCCTTCTGAGGTGTTATTTTCTTTCTAGATACAAAGAAAAAGTTGTAGGCCCCCATTTCACATAACCTTAGGAGGTCCAGTATCCTCCCCAGTGTTTCTGAGGATACCGCAGAATGGGGTCTGGGATGCTTAATCCTCCAGTTGCCTGTAACACACTCTTAATTTCCCCTGGGCACCACTCAACAAGGGTATGGTGTGTAACCGATCTTTACTCAGAGTGAATTCACAGAGGAGAGGATTATAGCACAAAAGAGGAAAAAACTTTGACCTCAAGATAGTATCAGTGTGCTTAGGCCGTCACTGCCTTAGGGACCCTTACTCATATTTATATTTTTCTTTTTTTGAGAGAGAGTCTCGCTCTGTCACCCTGGCTGGAGTCAGTGGCGTGGTTTGGCCAACTGCAACCTCTGCCTCCCAGGTTCAAGTGATTCTCCTACCGTAGCCTCCTGAGTAGCTGTAGCTGGGACTACAGGCACCTACCACCATGCCTGGCTAAATTTTGTAATTTTAGTAGAGACAGCATTTCACCATGTTGGCCAGGCTGGTCTCGAACTCCTGACCTCATGATTTACCCACCGTAGCCTCCCAAAGTGCTGGGATTACAGGTGTGAGCCACCACACCCGACCCTTATCTTTTTCTTCAAAAATCTGTCTTCTTTATTCTCCAAGGTCCCACAACCAACCCTCTTCTCTCTCAAGCTATCCGGGAAATCATTGAAATGTCTTGCCGCTTTATTGGGCTGAATACTTCAGGTCCCACTGTCTTAATACTCCTTTCTAGACAAATCCAAGCCTTGCCAGCAGCATGTTTTTCACAAGATGAATTCAACCATTTCCATAGACCTCACAACTGTCTTGGTTTTTAGCTTATTTTTAAGTAGCATTTTTTACCCTTTCCTTTACAGTTTGGAATGCACAACTAAGTATCATAAATGATTTTATTAAAACCATTCTAGAACTTAAACCACCTAGTAAATACTGTGCTTATTAACAATGAAAGACATTCCAATGATTAATGACTGTTTTGGACATATTTTAAATTGCTAACAGAATTTCTACTATATTACCTTTTTATCCATGGTGTAGAGTAAGCACAAGACAAATTTCTGAAGCAACTTAAAATCTGGAGCAAAATGAGATAAAAACATATATTTGGGGTTGGAAATAAGGTGTCATAAAGTTGTGTATCTAAGGTGAGAGTTCTCAACTTTGGAGGTAATTGTAGAGTACTGAGGAGAGGAGGACCATAAACTTTGATTAGAAAAAACATTTTATCTTTCTTTTCACTAACCTCTATTAAAAATAACATTTCCTTTCATTATGAATGAAGATAACACTCCACCATCATATTAGCAATAAATGTGACTTTGAGTTACCAGTATCATCTTTGTAAATATCAGATATTTTCATACCATATTCCAGTTGCTGCAGAGATCTCAAAATATAGTTTATGTTCATCACTACTTTGAAACTAATAGCCCCTTTCTAGACCTTAATAGGGAAACACATATTATTGTAACACAAGTCTAGTTTTAAACAGTTTGATAACTATTTCAATTTAATTGGTTTCCTTTATAATCCTATGTATTTTATGCATTTAATAACAAACTATGTTGAGAAAGAGCCCATGGTCTTCACCAGGCTGCTAAAGGGTACAATTACACAAAGTTTAGAACTTTTTCCAAAAGCAGGGTTCCAAAAAAGATTAGTGCAATGGCATGTTCATTGAGATAAATGTGCAGCCTCTGACGATTCTTACTACTATGAGGATATTTATGAGGATTTAAAGTGCTTGGGTATTACTTCACTTCTAGTCTGTGACCTTGGTCAATTACTTATACTCTGTGCCTCAACCTCTAGCTATACAATGGGGATAAATAGATAATACTAACTTCTCCATAGGGTTTTTGTGAAGATTGTTTCATTCAAGGGTGTTTAGAACAAAGACAAGCACATAATGAGTGCTCACTAGCTAGTAGCTATTAGTCATATCACATCTTGTATGTGAAAACAATTTTCACTTTAGAAATTCCCCCATGCCATTATTTATTATTCTTTTTGGAAGGTACTTACTCCAGCCAAATGGCTCCTATCCAGTGAAAACTATGGAGGACTGACCAACTGACAAGATTGAATGTGGGTCAACATAGCTTTTCTAAGACGGACGGTTTTTTGAATGGCAGTAATCATATAAGCCAGAGGGTAGGTAAAGAGAAGGAGGGAGCACAGCTCTGGAATGAAAGCTAGGTTTCCTCTGACTCTGAAATGTATAAATTGTGATTAAAGACAAGTTACTAATTTCTTACATCTTTTGTCTCCTTATCTGTAAAACAAACAATAACTTCCTCCCAGAGTTGTCACAGTTAAATGGAATGCAGATTAAAACAGGTTTGTAGACATAGGTACATAGAATGAACTCTGCAAATATTAGCAGCCTTCCATTTCTGCTTTCCTGTCTTCACTTCTATCACCAACTCTCTGAACCTTTGTACTTCATTCTACTATTCTTCTGGATTTAGTTAAGGATTCATAGTAAATTGCAATATTAAAAAACCTAAAAACTCCTAATGGACATCCTCCTTCTACTTTACAGAGGCAATTACCCAACTTGGCCATATAAGAAAGGAGCCACCTGCAGTGCCTGCCCCAATAATGACAAGTGTTTGGACAATCTCTGTGGTGAGTAAAAGGAAGAGTCTACCAATAGAATAACTTAATAGTAACCTGTAACTTTCTACAGAATTAAAAATGAAACCATTTGTTTTATCCTAATGACTGCCTTCAAGGAAATTGGCATCAAGTAGCAATTAAACTAATGGCCTACTGTTCTAGGAATATGTGTAAGATAAACTTAAATGTGAAAATCACATTCTTTTTATTTAGTTCTAATTGGTCAAAGAAAAAGTATGCTATAGACTAATGTTCCTAAGACTTGCTTATTTCAGCAAGATCAAAAATAAGTATAACAGGTCATCCAAACAGATTCTGCATTCTGTAGTCCTACCTGCCCAAGGCGCTCAGGGTTTGAATCTTCATCTGTAGAACTAAACAAATGAATTAAAGCTGCAACAGGCCATGCACGGTGGCTCACGCCTGTAATCCCAGAACTTTGGGAGGCCAAGGCAGGTGAATCATTTGAGGTCAGGAGTTCAAAACCAGCCTGGCCAACATGGGTAAAACCCCATCTCTACTAACACAAAAATTAGCTGGGTGTGGTGGTGGGTGCCTGTATTCCCAGCTACTCAGGAGGCTGAGGCAGGAGAATTGATTGAGCCAGGGAGGCGGAGGTTGCAGTGAGCAGAGATTGTGCCACTGCACTCCAGCCTGGGCGACAGAGTGAGACTCTGTCTAAAAGAAATAAAAATAGAATAAATAAAGCTGCAACATGGCACTTTTATTAGCCAGACAGCATTTAATGAAAAAGTGTAGAAGCTGCATGCAGGTAAATTTCCAAGGATGTTTTACTAAAAATCCAAGCAAAATTCTGCTTTGTGATTTTGAAATATTAGTAATTGACCAAAATTTTATTTCTGGTTCTTGTTCCAGACACAAGCTCCTCTATCCTAGTATGTTTTTATTTTTACCATAGTGTAAAAGGAAAACTTCAAGTAAGCTACTACAGCTGTGCAAATCCTGTGGTACTTTTATGTCCACATCTGTAACAAACTGAACTCACAGCAGCTGTGCTAGAGTAGGGTGCTTAGAATTGAGGAAGGACAGAGTGGGCCAAATTTCACTGCATCAAATTTTGTTTGAAAAAAAGTGTTCCATTGCTCACATGTTTTTTAAGGTCCTTTCCAGGCCTAAAATTCTACATATTAAACTGCTTGTTCTCCTCCTTCCCATTTAATGTTGAATACTTATTTTACATATAATAGACTTTTTCAAAGTTTGTTGAGCCATTTGTCTCTCAGTCCAGTCACGCTTTATTTCACTCACAGGACTCTTGTGAAGAAAACTCAGTAACATGTAGCCACAATTCAGCTAATATCAAGGTATCAACATATTCACGGAATTCTTCCTTTTACAGTGCTGTAGCACTTTAAAACATACATATTTCTTCCAAGTTAAGCAGTATACATAAGAGTTAAAACCATGGGTTTTAAAACCAGTATGCCAAGTTTCAGTGCAATTTCCAGTTCTACCACTGTGACTGGGCAAGTTTCTGCCATTTTTTCAACAAAACAATCCAATGAAGAAAATAATTTTCCCTTTAAAAATCTATGTAATTAGTAATACTACTACCACCACCACTACCACAGTGACAAAAATACCGCTGGTCTTAGCTTTTGATCTTTGGCAATCTAACTTGAGATGATCTCTAATCTTGGGGAATAACACGTAAGATTAAAGCTGTAGTCCAGTAATGAATACCCTTGGACTCTTGAGAAAACACATGCTAACTTGCATGGTATTTATAAGATGTGAAACTCATTACCCATTTACTTCAGATAAGAGCTCAACATCCTACAGATTGATCTTGTCACTAATTTTCCATTCTCAAAGCTAGATTTTATTTTTTTTGAGACAGAGTTTCACTCTGTTGCCCAGGCTGGAGTACAGTGGTATGATCTCGGCTCACTGCAACCTCTGCTCCCGGGTTCAATTGATTCTCCTGTCTCAGCCTCCCAAATAACTGGGACTACAGGTGCACGCCACCACACCCAGCTAATTTTTGTATTTTTAGGAAAGACAGGGTTTTATCATATTGGCTAGGCTGGTCTTGAAATTCTGACCTTATGATCTGCCCGCCTCGGCCTCTCAAAAGTGCTGGAATTACAGGTGTGAGCCACCGCACCTGGCCAAAGCTAGATTTATGTAATTTGTTTTCATGTAAGTGTAGACTTATTTGAAAGTATTCTACTCAGCACTAATATTGAATAAGACTTGTGACTAAAAAAACTACGAATAACCATTTCACCTTTTGTAAGGTCTGATGAAGGTCAAGTTTAGAGGGTAAAAGCTTTTATTTAACAGATTCCACCTCTGACAAATTATGGCAAGCACAGGAATATAAATTCCTTTGTGGTCTCCTAGATATTGCTGGTAGCTCAATAAATACCCCTGGAGGCCAAATCAGGACTCCTTTACAAAATGTGCTGGGCATGCTTGTGGTACCTAAGATGATTTTAGCTAGTGCACAGATGCATGTTTGTTTCAATAGTTGAATGTTGAACATTTAAAAAATAAGAAAAAATAAGTAGAACATCACACTCTTGATTTCATGGACATAATTGCCAAGAAAATGAGGGTAGCATCTTTACAGTAATTCACCACAGACAAAGCCACTCCCAGGTATACAGACCAGGAAGGCTCACAAGTCCCCAGAGGACCAGATTCTTGATGGCTTCTACCACGAGTAGAACAATGACTGCTGCAGAACTGGTGTGGAAAAGGTTTCTATTTCATAAAAGAAAATATCCAGAAGGCTAAAGGCAGTTTGGAATTTATTTCTTCCCAGTGCTCTGAATGTCAAAATCTGAATAAAGCTCAGTGAAAGGAGGGGAGTAACTAATAACTTTTGATAGCCAAACAACATAATGATGATTTCACGATATACTAGACTGGATGAGAGAGATGTTACTGTCTTTTCACTGTGGACTCATCATAAACAGTATTTCTTCTCAAGAGGGAACTTAGTTTTAGAAATATATTTTAATAAATTTCTCACATGATTTCTAATATTTTTAAAATTTTATTACCTGCTGGTTATGATGTATAATATGATTTTCCATTTATAGTAATGGTATAGTTTCTTTTATAAAATTTTATATAAAAAATCAACTTAAAAGTACCAAGTTAGTTGCAAGTTAATGGTTATAATTAAAGACTTAGCTTTTTAAAATAAACCCTCACTTATACCTACCCTTTCAATTTTTTTTCTTCTCCCTAACCTTACAGTTAATCAACAGCGAGACAACGTCAAACGTATGTACATCAATCTTGTTTATAAAGAGCTATGTGAATTCTGTCAGTGCACTTTGAGGAACTGTGTCTAAGAGGATATTCTATGTTTTTTTCCACAGGTTACTACTCTGTTGTGTATCCAGGCTGGCCCATTTATCCACGTAATAGATATACTTCTCTCTTTCTCATTGTTAATTCAGTAATTCTGTTGCTGTCTGTTATAATTACCATTTTGATACAGCACAAGTATCCTAATTTAGTTCTTTTGGACTAATATGATCTAGGTTTAAAAAAAAAAAACAAAAAAAAACCAACCTTATTCACATATGGCTTATTTTTTAACCAATAACAATTAGGTGTATTTCTATTTTAAAACATTTCAGAAAAAAAAAAAATATGTTGCAGCAATACTCTTACTCAAAAGAAGAAACTTCCTAACTCTATAAATAAGTATTGTTTGCAGGTTGCCACATGTGGACTTCCAGTAAGTAACCTAACCCATGTTTCAACTTCCAAATCTACAAAATGAGCAAGGTACAGTAGCACTTTTTTAGGTGATTCTTAGTAACTCCAGTATCCTTCATTAGTTAAAAAAATTATTATCGTTTACATGCTGCTTCGACTCTAAATGTCTGGTTTTCCTGCAATCTGATGTGTCTCTGATTTACCACTTCCCCAGATTGAGAAAACAGGAGTATCTAGGAGATCTAATTTCAGAGGGCTTAATTTTCAGCTTGCAGATTGTTTGCAAAAGGGATAAACCTATATGTTTACTTGTTATCATTAGAGAGGGAGCACCAAATACTGAGACATCATTATATTTGATCAATGGCATCTGTCACTGGATTTAATGGATAATCACAATGGTCATAATGTATACAAAGACATACATACCACGTTATAGTATAAAATTTTCAAAAAAAATTACAATAACTTATGAACAAAACTCAGAAAATTTCTCACAAATAAGGCAACTAATTAATGCCTGGTATCTCAAAATCCTTTACAAAAGGAGATAGTTCTAGTCAAGGAGTTTTGTGTATGTTACTTTTTTTTTCTTTTCTTTTCATCTGCTTCCATCTTAAGTGCAATTTCTTCAGCAGTAAGAGCGCCCAGTTTCTTATTCTTTGCTTTCTTAACCTTTTCCTTGATGCTGGCCACATCAATTTTAGTTTCAGTAGAAGCTAAACAAAGTAAAATCACAATACATGTAATACTTCTATTTTACGAAGTAAAAAAATGTATGTTTAAGGCAGTAACTTCAGAGTACTCTTATAAGTGAAAGAAATATAAAAACACCTGCCTAAAGGAGTTAAGAGAAAACAAATCATAAAATACTTTAAATATACAATATACATTAGTACAAGTACACATAAAAATGGCATGTTGGGACCAATTACTAGATTCAATTATTAAGACTATTTCCTTAAATCCTACTTGAGACTAAATTTTACTTACATTCTTTTCCATATTTTAGAACTTTTGAGTCCTAATTATTTTCCATCTTGCACATTAAACTTATTGAAACTAGAAAGGCAACATGTAATTTTAATCAGCTAACCATAACCTAGAGGTCAAAATCTACTTTCTCTGTTTTCCAAATATTAATTCAATGAATACCTGATAGTCGTATTTTATTTAACAAGATTTTGTTAATGAAGACAATAATTTGGGAGTATTTGGAGGTCCCGCTTATAGAATCTAAGTATCTAATGCTAAAAGTGTGAACAAAATACAGAAAGGAAGCAGTGAAAAAGAATGCAAGTTTTTCTTACCATTTAAAGTACAGTATCACAGTATAAAAAAAGTAAGACAAGACGTCATAATGTACAAACTACCCAGCAACCTGAGAAGTATAGAGATTTAAAGCTTCCACTTTGTGGAGAAACTATATTCTTAATCATTATAGATAAAGATTAAGTAGCTACTGCGTACCTTTCAAAGCACTCAACTGACAGGTTGTACAGATTAGAAATTATAATACTTATGACATTTTTATCTTTTATATAATCAATAATCTAGGACAGAAGACAGTATTTGCAAGTATTAAGCAATATAAGATATTAAAATAATATGTTGTATCTGTTTCTGACCAAGTCTATGTACAATATTGCTGGTGAGCCCTCTCCCCTCAGTGTATCACTGTTCACTTTGAAGGGTTACTTTAGGAAGAAGACAAGTGTTACCACAGGGAAAGTAAATGCAGAAGAGGATGCATCAGAGTGAGACTAGAAATGAAGAAAAGGCATGGAGTGTTTTCTCTTAGTGTCTTTTAAGTGCTAGGTTAGTATGAAAGTGACTATGGTTTTTAAATGGCAAAAACTGCAGTCGCTTCCACACTAATAGCTCCTAGATAAGGCCTGTCGGCATCCTTTAATCCAAGGTGATGAGAAATCCATGTTAATATAGAAACCAAACTTTAAGCCAACATCACAATCCCTCTATGAGAGGCATGACAGCAGTGCTCAGGGATCTTCTTGCTTCCATTACTTTTATTTTTACAAAAGATGCACTGGCTGCTCTGGGTTTGTATCTTTCAGAACAAAGGGTCTTTCCCAAGCACAGAACAGAGGTCAGGGGAGGACTGTCAATCCAGTTTGCACTGAAATAGGCACTAGCTGCCTCTAAATTAGAAATTATCTCAGTCATCCCTGGTCCTTAAGATTAGTAATTAGAGGCCAGGCGCGGTGGCTCACGCCTGTAATCCCAGCACTTTGGGAGGCCAAGGCGGGTGGATCACGAGGTCAAGAGATCGAGACCATCCTGGTCAACATGGTGAAACCCCGTCTCTACTAAAAACTACAAAAAATTAGCTGGGCATGGTGGCGCGTGCCTGTAATCCCAGCTACTCAGGAGGCTGAGGCAGGGGAATTGCCTGAACCCAGGAGGCGGAGGTTGCGGTGAGCCGAGATCGCGCCATTGCACTCCAGCCTGGGTAACAAGAAGAAAAACTCCGTCTCAAAAAAAAAAAAAAAAAGATTAGTAATTAGAGAAATGACGAAAAGATAGTTATTTCTTTACTCAACACTTAAAGAGACTCAGACAAATTCACTATGGGTTTACTTTTCATGGTTAATAAAGACTTTTACAACATAGAAAGCATTACCTTTCTTAGGTTTCACAACAGGTTTTTCTTTAGGTGGAATAAATGCTTTGTTTCTTTCCTCTTGTCTCTTACTGACGGCTTCTGCTTGTTTAGCCTACATTAATAATAAATACATTAGTTAAACATATTTAGTTAAATAATTCAAGTACCTATGAAAGTTGTGAGCTACGCATAAAATGTCTTACCTTTATTGCTTCCATTTTCTGCCGCTTCTTCTGATTTGCCTTCAAAAAGTATTCACCACTAGCCAATTCTTTATCAATCTGTTGAAAACGGTATTTACACTTAAATTACATTAGAAATAACGTTGTGGGGAAGTCATGTGGTGAGCAAGTCACAATATCTTTAGGGTAAAACTGATGAGGTCATTTTATTAATAAAAATGGTAGTGACATAAAGGATATAGAGTCTAAGCTGAGGGGAATACATACACAAAAGTATGCAGGTAGGAAAGCACCTCCATGGAATACAACCCAGAGTAGTTCAGGTGGTATGGAAGGTTTCAGAATAGTGTGTGAAGAAACCACAGGGAGTGTTTTGGGGAAAGTTGAATGCTAGGCAAAGGAGAGGGAATTAGATTTAGAAATGACTGTAGGTTTCTGAGAAGACTGAAAAGACCAAAGCATAATTTTAATGGAGAGGAATGAAGAATAGATGAGAGCCTGGAATAAAGGTAGTGACATGCAGAATTAAAGCAATAACTGTCAGGAATTGGTGACTAGAGAAAGCAACAGCTTGTTCATTCAATATACAGCCAACATGTAAAATGTGTATAACTGACCCATCTCCCACTTATATAGCATTATTATATCTAAGGCACTGTTCTAAGCTCTTTACAATTGCTCACTCATTTAAGAAACTTAAGTATGAATGGGATAAACAACTTACCCAGTCACATAATCACATAATGAATACATGTAAGAACAAGTCAACTGAGACATCACTGTTTCTAATCTAGCTTATACAGCTAGATTAGAAAGATACTAACTCCAAGAAAGGGCCATAAGAAATAAGGGTGGTGTAATGGAAGCATGATTTAATGACTGCATCACTCCACTTCCCCCAATTGCTATCAATTTCCTCCATGATCCAACACTTTCATTGTTTTTTCACTATGATCATCAAACCTTCCCTGAAAGGCTCCTAACACGGTTGTGGAGAAAAAGAGATGTAGAAAGGGAAGGCTTTAGGATAGAGCCAAGGGACGGAATAATGAAGCAGGAGCCACCAGGAGACAGTTGAAGATGGAATTCAAAGAACACATACAAAAGGTTGATGCAGATGGAAGAAAACCATACGTAAGAGAAGAGGAAACAGGGGTTCTTATCTGGTGGTCTCGAAATATTTCAATAAAATGCAATGTCATCTGCTAAACCTGGGAGGGCCCTGACAGAATTTAGAGGAAACATGGATTTTGAATGAATTTAATCCAAAGATAAAACTTTCTCTAACTTAGTTTGGTAGCCATGTTACAGGGAAGAGGTCAAGTTTTTAGACTGATCCAAGTTTTAGAGTTTTCCTGAGAAGGTGTGACAGAAGTAAAAAGGGGCATGAATGAAAACAAAGATGGGCAAGAATGAAAAAAGCTTTGGTCACATTGGGAAAGGAAATGAAGCAGAGGACAGCTGACAAAATGGAAGGGAATCATAACTTAGAAAAAGGGTGGGTGTTACAATTTAAGGTTTAGGAACTAGAACAATCATAGAGCACACAGTCACAAGACTGTTGCCAAAGCAGAGTAAAGAGTACTGCAGGCTAAACCACTGAACTTTTATCCACTGAACATTCACAGTGGCTACAGGGCGCAACAGACACAAACCACCTGGACGCAGTTTACAGTCAATGTGAAGGCCACACTCCCCACCCCTACAGCTCAAAATATGCCTATTTACACTTGCCCTCGGTTTATTACACCTCTCATGCAGAATATACACTCCACCTGAAATACCTTCAATAAATTTTCTGACCAAATAGATTAAAATAGATTCTCCTTCATATAAAGTTCAACATTTAGTACTAACCTGACTTTCTGGCTGTGGTGGGGGGAATGGTGTATATTCTTTCTTAACAGTTTTCTTCTTTGGTTCCTTGCGTTTATTCACATTTTTATGTTTGAACTGTGGCAAAAATCTCTCCCAACTTTGTGATCGTAATTCAGAATCTTTTGCCAACTCTCTTTTAATCATTAAGCTCTTTAGTCATGCAACAAAGTAAAAATTTTAATGTTCAAAAGTCACACATTTGTCAAATTAAGACATAAATATTGCTCTTATAAATAAAAAGAACAGCTCCTACTTTTAGT